TATACTTGAGTACCATTGTTGATTTTGTTCTTCTTCCGCTCGTCGGTATTATGGTTCTATTTGTCATCCTATCATCAGAATCCTTTTGTTCTTGCAGTTCTTTTCAATCTCTTGGCAGAAGAAGCTTTCCTCCTCTTCCTTGTTTTTGTTTTTTATCCTTTTTGTCTATTGCACGTGCAAGTGGTGCTTGATATTACTATTATACATATAACAATTGTAGTAATTCATTGTTATTTATAATAATAATAATAATAATAATAATAATAGATACATCGTAGCAATACACTTTGCAGCGGCCATGCGCAGGCCAGATTGCGGATGAAGATATATGTGGTGGTGGTGTGCTACATGTATGTATGTATGTACGTACGTACGCTAATATGCATGTATATATATACTAATATATATAGTGTACACATATAGCCATTGCATTTTGTCTGTGTACGAATATATGTGTCTGCACTGAATCGTCATTTGCACAATATATAATTATAATAGTAACGAGCTGGCCGAGCAGCCTCTGCTGTTGATCAGTGGTGCTCTATGTCGCGAGTTTCGCGTGCTGAGAAACGGTCATCGTAAGGCCTATACGGCTGACTGACTGACTTTTGATAATTCCCTATTAAAAGTGGATAGATAGTATCATAGTTACGATGACGGTGCCAATGCACATACTGAAAGGTTTTTTGTCTCTCTTTTTTTACATAGTCAGAAGGGAAATCAGTGTTCCACCCTTTCCTGTATAATGGACTGCCTCGCCTTTGGGCGTAACGATAATTGTTGGATACAAACTTTAATGGACGTTGATTATTTGTATATAGTAGTCGACATTAAAGCTATTAATTCATGTTGACGTTCGCTATCTTGACAAGCCGTTTTCCGTCCCCATCGACAATGGACCTGTCCGCTATCTAACACCAGACGGCTTTTAGCACTTCTGAATTATCAATGGTCCACTCTGAAGCCGTATCCTAAGATGTTGCTCGCTGCCGCTGTTGCAGTCGTGACGAAATTTACGGATAGGGTTTGACAGAGATGTCTTCTCGAGAGCTGGGATGCCCCTATAGAAGCGTATATATATATATATAGATCGCTAGTGCGTTACGGAGGGTTTGACGCCATGCATATCCATACCGTACGGAATAATGCGGGGCTAGGTGAAGGACGTTCATGTTTAAGAGGTTATCGAATTTTAAGGTTGAGTTGTAATTACCGTAGGCATCACATCCGAGTAACTAGTTAACCCGTGCACGTTAACTCCAACATTACTACCGAGCATATCAACGCCTAGCAAGCTGCCAGGAGAGGTTGTCTGATGATATGAGTGAGATACGGATGTGTTGACGTGCAACGTCGGGCCTCCTAAGGCGCCCGAACGTCCTTCTTTTTTTAGTTTCTGTTTCAGGTGCACTTTCGCGTGGCGCTTCTTCTCGTCGGAGCGAGCGAATTTACGACCGCACACCTCGCACGAGAAGGGCTTTTCGCCTATAATCACGACAATTCGAAACGAAAGTTGCCACAACGAAAACAATTGTTATTAGCATGATTCATTATTTGCAATAGTAACATTTTACGAAATAGGGTAAGATATCATCTATCTGCCGATCCAGATGTTTCGAATATAAGTTTACTGCACGGCCTATGTGTTACAATGTAGGTATCATATCGGATGACTTGATACAGTTATTGATGCTGCTGCTGCCGCTACTGATCTTTCTTTTCACTGACCTGTGTGGGTCCTGATGTGGGTAGTAAGGTGATCAGAACGACTGAACGAGCGCATGCATATACGACATTGGAACGGCTTCTGTCCTGTGTGGATTCGGATATGACGTGTCAGTTCGTCCGAACGAGAGAATCGTCTGTCACAACCCTCAATCGGACAAGCGCAGGGCCGTTCGTGAACTGGCGTTTTGGATGGTCGATTTGGATACTTGCGCGGCTTCACCTACATTTCAGCAGAACGAATCAGAAAAGTACAAATAAGCATCACACGCGTCGATCTTTTCTCCTCAACTCTCATATACAGCACTCGAATGGCACATCAAATCAATGAAAGCATAAGAGATAGATTCAGTATGTATATGAGGTTCTGGGCTCTCTTGAATATCAGTTTGCTCTCAGGTTGGGTAGGAGAGCCTGGGTGCCTAAATGCTCTTGAAAAATATATGTCTGTTATGTAAATGGAAAAAGGCGTCACAATAACATGATCGGTTAATTAATAATAATGATGTCTCATTCTGGTCAAACCTTCATTCTATAATCATTTGTATGCAATGGCGGTGGAAGCCGGTTCTATGGATAGCACATTATTAGAGAAATATGTGTGGAAACAATTATGAGTAGTTTAGATATCACAGATAGGTTAATTGATAGGCTCTTACGGGCACAAGCTTGAGCGGTGTGGGACTGTTCTGGTAGGCTTGACTGAGGATCTCATGGCCTTTGCTCGTTGCCTGATTGTACTCTGCTAATGTAGCTACCCCTGATGAACTTCGAGATCCGCCGTTGCTAGACGCGCTAGCGTTGGAAGTGTCATCTAGACTTCCTTGCGTCTGTAAGCCGCTAGAATAGTCTGGTTCTTGTTTTGGGACCACCACCTAATTTATAGAGATCAAACAAGCAAAATCCAACGTCATCGTGCAATTTCGTAAGATACCGTTTTAAAAATAAGGTTTGTAATGTTTTACGATAAAGCTAGAAACATTACGCGTATTAGCAATCAATCGTAGGGTAAAAGCGTAGTAGCTTTCGGAGCCATTTGCTCGTTTGATTCCTTCTCAAATGTCCCCCCAGTAGAAACCAAACACTTCTCCATCGTGAAAATCAAAAATTGTCGGGTACATCCTAGAGCGCCCCCAACGGCACTCCACCATAATGGAGTCTAAAGCGCACAATTTCGACATATTCATCTTTCGTTTGTTAGCTAAATACATCGTTGTTATTGCTGATGACTAGCAGCTACAACGAAGACTGGACGATTAACGCTTTCTAACTTCTTTGTGATGACATTATTTATATATATATTATATTTTTCATGCTCTTATGAAGCTTCCACCATGAACTTGATTACTTACCGGGGGCCCGCTCACAGTAACAGCCTGTAGAGTATATGAGAGATCGGACGATGTGGTCGTGGGCGGTGAATAGTTGGTCCACTGGTAGGTCTTTGTTGTTGTGGTTGACCCATTGCTGAGATTATTCGTGGTACAACTGGCGATTCCCGGCGTTCGGAACGTCAGCTCCTGAAGGCTGGCCGGATCAAGCGGCGCAAGTGATCCGACAACATCGGTTGCTGGGGGCGGACTTGTGCCAGTGAGTCCGACCGCCGTTGGTAAGCTCCCGCCGATCGTTGCAGTTGCATAGGTCGGCTTTCCACCAGACAGCATAAACGAAGCATCGAAATGCTGTGACGCAAATTGCTGGCCACCGACGACACCGACTAGCGAGTCGCTTGTCTCCGTCGGTCCATTTTGGGTGGACGAGGTTTGTCCGACGACTGCTACGAACGCCGACTCGTGAGGACCAGACACCGGCGGCACTTGGGGTACTACCGACATAACCGTCACTCCACCATCAGCTTCCTGGCCGGCGTACGGTGAATGTGTTGATGGAGGGGTGGCGCAGGCAACTTGTTGCTGTTGTTGCTGTTGTTGTTGTTGTTGCTGCTGCTGCTGCTGTTGTTGCTGCTGCTGCTGCTGGGTAAATTGTTGTTGCTGTTGCTGTTGTGAAGATGTTGTTGTGACGTCCGTTGGGACGACGGTGCTGAGGGATGGCAATGGGAGGCTGCCCGTAGGGTGCTGCTGGAGCAGGTTGAGGTTGAGCAGAGGGGAAAATTTGTCTTGGCTGGGAAATGTCGGGCTTGACGACACCGTCGTGGTAGACCAGAGCACCGGTGCCGGAGAAGTGCTCGCGGGCGAGCTCGCGTTTGTATATTGTTGAGTTCCACTTGCTGTTCCTGTAGCTCGAGGGCCAGGTGTGGAGTAGCGGGTTTGTTGCTGCTGCTGGGTAGGCGAGGAGGTGGCTGCTGGACTAATCTGAGGAGATGGGAACATATCACCCTTCTCGGGCACTGTCGCCTCCGCTGAAATTGTCAGAATGAAAAAGGAAACAACGTGAATTTCTTAAAATAGTAATTGAACTTTGGTATCGGACCTAGTAACTTGGCCTAGTTGTTGACTAAGAGGATGATATGTTGCCACTTCGCAGGCCATACGGCTGCCGTCTGCAACATTTTAGGAAACCCACGTGTGCTATTCACAAAAGTAACGCTGTACAATAATTGTACCTTTAAATGTAAATTATACTCTACTACGGTGATTACATACATCGCTCATGCTTGGTATTCGTTCAGAACAGCGCCTTATTAAATCTCGTAGATTAAATACGGAAAATCGCGTATGATTTCCAGACATTTAGATATGGTCTAGCGTACTCAAGCGGTCTGCGTTTGCTCATGGTATCGATGTCGTATGCCTTTGTTTGGTCGGCGAATGGGTAACTCTGAACGGTATTCCCACCTACACGCTGCGCCTTTGTCAAGCAACAATGGACGGTAACATCGACAGCCTTATGATCTTAGCAAATAGCTGTTGTGAAACAGTTTCTACTCGAAGATGGTCCGACCTGTAGCAAATTGTGCCGACCAGCGTGTGGTCATCGCTATTATTGTGCTAAGCGTCTCAGCGAGACACGTCTATCTTGTGGAGCAGCATAATCTATTTACTTTGTAATTTCACCCAAGAGCTACAATATCGGATTGACAAATGTGTTTGTGCTATACGTGCACATACAGATAGCGCTGGTTGCATACGCACACGGCAGGAGATGGCTAAGAATAGACTTCGATATGTTGAAACGGCCATCGTAGTGCACCGCGCAACGGAACGAATGTCAAATAGGTTCTTTCTCGTCCTGCCGCTGAGGTTGAGGTCACGTTAGGGAATGTTGGGGGGTTATGGGTAACCGCAGATGGCTGTTCCGTACTTAGCTACGACGTGCACAGTCACACCTCTACGCACATGGGTACGTTATGAGAGCGGGAAAAATGGGCCTCAAATAGATTACACTTTGTAGCAGAATAGCGCAAATCATATAGCAACAGCCGGCGGAGGCGATGACATCGAGGGCAACGGCAAATTCGTGGTCGCGTACGTCCATAAGAAAAGACCTGACCAGCCGACTGACCAGGCTGTGCCTGTCGTACATTCGTGTATGACATTGCACATGAGACATAAAAGCGAGCATCGACATAGCGACTTCGGGTACCACATAGCTTCTGCGTCGAGACCTCGCAGCGATCCGAAAACTCGAAGTTTTTTCATCATATTGCGCCGAGTAACTTATTGCGTAACAAACGATGCATATAGATGCCATAGGTTGTCTGAATGATTTTGCCGACAATCATCAATGACGATTCTCTACGGCTGGCTTTGGCCAGAAATAATACGCTATTTCTGTAACAAGTAATTAACTAAGTTAGAGCTTTAGTTCCATCGCAATTTTTTACCCGAATTAAAATAGGTACATATTCATATCTACGATCATCGGGTCAACCACGTTACAACCAAATACAAACGTAAAATGGCCGGATAGTAAAATTTATCTTTAAGTAAATATCTACAATGGTTGTCCATAGGCATTATGCAAAATCCTTGAATGATCCACATATCTTCTATGTTTAACTGCAATAAATAAACCAGCTGGCTAGCTAGAAGTTCATTATTTCCATCATGGGCAATAAACGAATGTTGTTGTATATGTATAGTTAGGGCAAATGGCGTAGCTTTTAACGGAATACTGTGCTTGGTAATAGTTGATACAAGCGACATATTTGGATCCATAACGACGCGCTACGCTCTTGAAAAAGTGAAAATAAAATACATTAAAAACACATAAGCTATTTCTTAATATTGTGGAAACATTTCTACACTCTAGTCGTCTATTAGGAACTCTTTTTTAGCACTGCCTCCTGATGCCTGTGGAAATTATAAGTGGTGCATAGACTAATTATAACTAGGGGTAAATAGATTGTGCGTGCGCGTCGTTTCTGCCGTCATTGGTCGGCGTAGCTGTTGCCGCAATGACAAGAGCAGTCCCTCATTGGATATGAAAGTTCACGATACGACATCTATTCGATTTCGTTTGCTCGACCTCTTGGCTGCCTGATTCCCGTTTGTTGTGCTAGCCGATCGGCTGGGCAGCCGGGTCGGGGCCAGGCGAAGGGTTCGCGCAGCCGGCAAACAGCCCAGGACACGATACGACTACACTAACGCCAGGCAGCTATAGCAACAATAATAGCGCGTAAGCAGCGTCGCGATTTAATAGCCAGGAGCTGATAGTGCAACTAGAGCTGCAGCTGCCAATGCATGCCCCAGCAATAGTCGTAAGGGTAGTAATAATGTCAATGGCTGCCGTTGCTTCTGCAAGCCAACCGCATAAGGGCCGACGAAGCGAGCGGTCAAGGAGGCAGGCCAACGAAAGCAGCTGACGCCGACGGCAATGTGGCGTCACTGAAGGAGCATCATGCAAGGCGGGGCAGCGTTTCGTCGTCTGCGACGGCTGGAATCTGACCGCCATAACTAGCGAAGGGCGGATGCAAACGAATCGCCCCGAACCAATGCGACCAGCTGAAAACTAAATCCCAAAACTCTTCTAGCTTTTCGCGGCCAGAAGAAGAACGAAGAAATAAAATGAGGAAAGCTGTAGAGCGGGAAGCGCCCGGTACAACAAATCAAAAACGGCAAAACCCCGAAAGCAGATGTCGAACGGTAGAACCACGCCACCACCCTGACTGCGGCAATAACAACAGTGATGACGATGTTTACGCATGTTCCCTTTGGTCACTCATACAACACACACAAATACACACATATATATATATATATATATATATATATATATATATATATATATAGGTTGTTGAAAAGGTAATTACCGTTTTTCCAGCTAGATGGCTTTAGAGTTACGTATCTCAGATTAAATGAATCGTGTTGAATTGGCGTTGGTGTCGTTTAAAAGCTGGCAGTGGTAGATATGCCAAGACTGTATGTTGGAACGCCTTTATTCAGACTTATGACAGAGCACCATGACAATGAGCGAAAGTTCTGAAAAAAAAATCGCTATAACGATATATAACCTTATAACGACAAAAGCATAACTGCTGGCCAGACCGTCAGCAAACAAAAATGTGCCGTTTATGGTCAATATGCATTATTGGAAGAAACAGCTTACAGATGGTTGTATTTATTTTGTTCTAAAAATTTTGGTGTAAGAAATACTTTTCGTAGCTAACCAGTTAGGGAAAAAGTTGGTAAAGTTATCGCAAAAGTTAAGCTGACCAATACACGAGTGGTCACTATATTGCCAAGAAACGAAACGGCCACCACCAAACAGTATTAAACCGTTTGAAGAAAACCGGCTACTAGAAAACCTCGGTAGTATTTGGATGCCACACAAATTTACTACATCGTATTTCTATCTACAAAATTTCACAGGAACGCAACGAGATCAGCCTACTTCTGAAACGAATGTTCTCGAGCATGGAACGATAAACCGTTAACAACGGTAAACTGTGCAAAAAATAGAAAAATAAACAAAAAAAGAATGTATGCCACAATCTGGGACAGTAATGCCAAACTCGGCAAAAATTGAGATAACTTAGATGAGAAATTTTCATACACCTGCCGTATAGTCCGGGCTTTGCACCGTCAGAGCTGTTTTTTGTTTCGCTCTCCGCAGAACTTTTTTAACAATATTATTTCAGCTCCAATGGAAGCGTGCAGATACAGTGGTGTTACCCAAAAGAATGGAAAAATGTTATTGATTAAAATGGTACATGCTTAGGTTAATGATCTTATAATGTAAAAAATAAACACTTATTTCAATTTGGGTTTAAGAACGATGAATACCTTTTCAACAACCCAAAATATATATATATATATATATATATGTATATAGTTTTTTTTCGATACATCATTGGCGATTGAAGTAAAAATCGACCCGTTCATTGTTTTATATAAATCTGATTGCTCTTCATCTACTTGTCTATATCTAGAAAAAAAATTGTACATTAATAGCAGAAACACCAATAAATAAGTCGATAACTTTGTGTTACGTAAGGGCATGTATTGGACTGAACTCATTGAATCAATTTTATTGTCTACAAGGGTATCAAACGAGGTCAGCGTAGAGTGGGCAAAAATCTGCTCAATGGCATTACGATAATGCCTTCGAGTCGGTTATGAGTCGTTCGCGATAGATAAAAAAATATATATATATATATATATTTTTACAGACAAACCAAATATATATATATATATATATATATATGTGTGCGTGTACATTATTGGGACAAAACGCATCAGTTGTTCTGAGCTCTCGCCGTTAGGTATTGAGGAACGAAGGGGGGACGGACCTGTCAGATGGTTAACGCTACCCTCACTTCCAGCGAGTGGAACGACGATGGGAGCAGTAGGTAGGCAAACAAGAAAGCCTCTTCTTACCCCCCTTCTTCAACTTCACTCCTTCCTGTTTCCGTAATGACAGAATGCGCATTCGTGTCGGCGTCTTCCTGAAGTCTAGTTCTGTTAGAGCTGTAGCAGTGGAGTAAGTCGCATAGGACTAGTTGAAATAAGTGGACGAGATATAGAAATAAGGAGAGGAGTAGCGTAAAAGCGGTGCTCATCGACGCCACTCCCAGGTTTTTGAGTTTTTGTTCATTATTTTTTTTATCCACACAAGACCTACAATGAAGAAGAAGCAAATAGACATATTAGGACATTTTACAATGCTCTAAGCAATCTTACGCCTAACGTTATAAAATTTCACAAATCCTTATTGTACAAGAAGCTCTATGCGGAATAGAAGAAAACAAGTAATGTAAGTAAACAGTGCCACTTATACATATATATAGAGCGTTTGGTAACCACTGTATAAGTGGCCGCCCGTTTGGCTGCTAGATCATTGCGGCAGCCGATAGCAGACATCAAGGAAAGGCCAGAAAGTCAACGCCTTCATTAGGTGTATCTTGCCCTTGCTATAGTAGAAATATGATCATGGAGCATCTGTGGCCGTCTTATTGCC